AAATTTTTATTGCATTTTAATTTTTGATGTTATTAGATTAAATGTATTAAGCTCTTAATTTTAGTCAAAAATTTCTCGAAACCTGATTTTCATAGAAACACTCCTATATATTATAAAAAAAAATTCCAAAATTTAAAACCTTTATGTAAGCATATTTTTTTATAATCATCTTTTTAGTAATTTTAAAATCTGTAATTAAAATAAAAGATAATTGTATAATTTAATTATAAATAAAAGAATAAATTTAATAAATATTTTTAATGATTACAAAAAATTGCTTAATAATATAAAAATTTTAAATTTATAATAAGAATTTGCTTAGTAATATTAAAAATAATTTGCTTATTGATCGTGATATAATGTGATAAAGAATAATCTAATCAATATAACTAATATTAAAATAATTTTAAATAACCTAATATTATATAATTTTATATAATAAATTTATATATATTTCATAATCAAAATTTCTTAAAAAAATTTTACTAATTTTATTATAAATTTTATTATATTTTAACTTTAAAAATCAGTTTTATTAGTTTTGATATTTTAAATAATATTATTATTAATCAAATTTTTAAATTTATTAAATTTTAAATTTATGCTTTTTAAGTAAAAATAAAAATTTATATTATTTATATTTAGATTTAAAATGTAAATATTAATATTTTTATAAAAATATATTTTATTTGATATTTTAAATATCAATAATTTTTTTTTAAAATTTAATAATTATAAGTTTATAAAAATGGCAAATTTATTAATCAATTACAGATTTCTTAAAATTATTTAAATATTTTTTTTTATTAAAAGATTATTAGTAAATTTATTAAAAAATATTATTTAATATTAAGAATTTTATAATAAAATAAATATCTTATATTAAATTATTTATTAATTATAAAGTAATTAACTAGTGATTTTTTTTAAAAATAAATATATAATAAATTATTATAAAAAAAAATTAAAAATTTAACAACTATTTATTAATTACCATTTAATAGATGAATTCAACAAACTAAATTTATTTATTTATTTATTTATTTTGTGATTATTAGATATTTGAGCAAATTTGTCTCAATATGATAAATCACAATAAACTTTACTTCATCTTTTTACAATTACTAAATATTAAAATATTATAATTTTTTACATTTTATAAACAACTTATATTATCATTTAAGATAATATATATAAATTGATTTTTAATAAATACTTTTAAAATATCATAAATTTTAGTGTAAAAAATAAAAATGCTACATAGAATACATAAAATAAATGTATAATTTAATTAATATTGAATTAATAATTTATTAATTAAACTTTAGAGTAATAAATTTTAAACAAATTGGTTTTCTTAAATCATTTTAAATACTTTATAATAATTATTGTATATTTTCTATATTTTATTTAAATATTTCAGATTCGATTTTATAATAATTGTCCGAAGCGAAAGCGGAGGACGTTTACGTTCTGTACAAAAAGGTTGAAATGTTGGTCGGTCACTATTATAATCGGAGCATAGAGTTGGGTTAGGGCGTAGCATTAGCATTAGGGTTAGGACGTGACATTAGAGTTAGGATGTAGCATCGTGGCGTTAGGGTTAGGGTTAGGGTTAGGATGTTCGGAAGGAAAGGTTTGTTAGGAAAGCAGGCCGTAGGCCACGCAGCAAACGGCTGCGCAACGTTTCCGATAAGTTGCGTGGAATTAGGGTTAGTTCGTAGCAAGCCACTATAAATAATGATCAAAATAAAGAAAAATCTCTCATATTTATTATTCATCGTGAAACCATTAAATGTAAATGTGACACTAAAAAATGTCAAGCTCGAAAAAATTGGAGTGACGCTCGCTTCGGACGCACAACGGTCCCCGTTGTCTAGTATTGTATTATTATCTAGTATTCAATTCATTCAGATAATATAAATCATTGTAAAGTACTTTTAAAATTTTATAATTACTAAAACTAATTGAAGCGTAGAGTATAGATAAGCATTATTTTAATGATTCAGTTTTCATTTTATTGTAACATACATTGTTAAGATCTAAAAATTAATTGGTTGAATACGCAGATTTATGAAAATTTTTCTTCAAATAAGATTTTAATATTTACAGTATATCGATCGGTAAATCGGTAAAAACGGGACGGTCGGACCTTACTATGGTGCGAAATTAGGGTGTCGATCTTTTTTTTCGTGTCATCGAAAACTGAATTTATTATTTAATCCTAAATTCCTGCTTTTACCGGGTAATATGTGTTAAACAAACAGATCGAAATTATCCGAGCCTATCCAAAAATAATGTTTTAATATAATATTCGTAGATCTCAAAATCCGTTTATTAATAATTTAATTTCAAAAAGTTCATCAAAAGAATAAGTTATAATAAATATATTATAATCTAAACGACTCTTAATTTGTTAACTTTCAAGTTAACTAAACATATTTCTTAGAATATTTCTTAGAATGCATAAAATTAAAAAATGTACACGTTATGACGAATAAAAATCGATAAAAATGAAAATTTACGAACGAAAAAGGAAAAAGGAACAAACCAAAAAAACGAAACGACGAAAAAATTCAGAAAGCTAATTTTATAAAAACGAAACGATGAAAAACTTCAGAAAGCTAATTTTATAAAAACGAAACGACGAAAAAATTCAGAAAGCTAATTTTATAAAAACGAAACGACGAAAAATATTCAAATTTTAGAAATTAAGAAATAAAGTTATAAAACTAACTAAAAGACGAAAATATTCAGAATGCCAATTTTAGAAATTAATATAAAACTTAACGACGAAAGAAATCAGAATGCAAGTTTTAGAAATTAAATAAGTTATAAAATTAATTGATTAAAAAATCATATTAAATTATTTTCATCACAATAAGAATAGTTTATGAAATCAGAAAATTCACATTCTGGATTTACAGAATGAGAATTTTCTAAAGGAATAGTTTCATCATTAGGTGAGATCCATTGTTGTGGGTATGACACGTTTCTCGCTAAGCATTCAAGGCAATTTTCTTCAACACAATAATATAAAGGTGTAAATTGTTGTTGATTAATTACATCTCCTGCAAAGGAGCAATCCAAACTCATATAATAATCTTCAGCCGGAACAGGTACCGAAATCTCAGGATTTGATTCAGAAATATTTTCTGGAATAGCGAGTTGTTGGGTTACCACATGTTCAGCAGGAAAGTATTTTAAACAAATGGGACAATTTTTCCGATTGTCGCACGGATAGATGGTAAAATCCAAATCATCGATCACATTATTGTCGTTTGCTACAATTGCTGTAATATCATCAAATGTAGGATGAAAACCAGATACATTTGTTTGAAAATCTCTATTGATTTCATATTGTTTTCTATATATATCACGTATTTTTTCCGAAAAATTTTTCCAAATTTTAGATGCCGTCCCACTGAGTTTCTTCATTTGGATATTTTTCTTCGCATGTTTGATCAACGAACTTCTAAATAAAAAAAAAGGATTTTGTATTCTTTTTTTCGTAAAACACGGATAAGGGTAGAAACGAATTTCACCCATTTTTGAAAGGGAGTTCATGATCAAAGAAAGAAAAATAGATAAATTTTATGAGTGGGTTAATGATAAATTAGATTCAAATTTTCGACAAAAGGTGATAAATAGATAAATTTTATGAGCGGAATTGCTAAAATAGATTCAAATTCTCGACAACAAAGTTTTCAAGTACCTACTTATTTATAAAAAAAAAATTTACTTCAAATCCACATTTGGAGCTTGTTTGTAATCTGCTTATGATTATGTGTCAGTGTCCCGAAAATAAATAGAAATCAAGACGATGTATTCTAGAAAATCATGAAAGATGTTTCAAGGGTTTTATTCTCCGGGAGAAACTTCAATTCGTCTTTATCGCTCTTCATTTTGAAAGCACTAAAAAAGGATAAGTATTTTATTTTATTTTATATTTGTGTCAAATGCCAAGAGAAAGAAAAGAAACTACCAATGCGAATGAGTTCAAATTATTGTGATTGTAAAATTTGATGATTGATAATAAACATTTGACAACATAATTTGTTTTGATTTGTCATAACACAAAAAAAATCGCGTGTAAAATTTCCGAAGTAAAATTAATTATTGGTAACGGCCATTCCAATTAGACGGATTAAATGGAATTCTCTACTCACGGAAAAGCTTTTCCTTTTATCGATATCGATTCCTTATTCGTGTAAATTTTTAGGAAACTTTCCTTATTTAATACATTCCTCGTCATATTGTAAGCAGAATAATACAAAAAATTTTTTTAATTGTCTTTTTTACTATCATTGATAAGTTACCTTTTTAATCACATCTCCAATGATGCTTTAAGTGTGACGCGTGCGCATTGACAGAACTTAATTCGTCATACCCAAACATTGAGTTCGCGTTAACCTAAACTGAGCATTATGAATGAGATATTTTAAAGGTCCCTGCATATGTCGAATTATGTCTTTGACATGGCATGGATACTATTTGTTTAACTAAAATGTCGACCTCGTGGATTTATAATCAGATTTCTTCTTTTTTTGGTATTCTTTGAAAGAAAAAAAATTAATTTTCTCTATAGAAATTACACAATAATTTGGCTAAACTTTAAATCATAATAGGCTAATTTAGGAAATAAATAAATGAAGACACCAAGTACATATGCGATCCCGAGCTTTGACCGATTTGGTGAGCATACATGGGTTGAATATCAAAAATGTTTTATTAATAGGTAACTTTCTTCTCCATAATTAGGAATGATATGAGACCTTTGCAATAGAAAGGGGGAAACTGTCGAAAAAAATCAATTTTACTTCTATATGCCAAATATGATTTTTAGGTCAAAATATGTTCAGATTTTGCATTTAACTCATTTTTTATTTTTTCCCTTTACTATTGCAAAGGTCCCATATTGTTAAATTTGTTCGATCATGATATTTAAATTTAAATCTCATTAAAAAAAGATTAAATGCCGTACATTCTTTCAGATCTTTATAAAATCAGAGATGACTTGCGGAATCATTCCCATTTTGAAACTGGAATCGGATTTGGTTAGATTTGTTCCACAAGTACAACCACATATTTTATCAAATTTTATATATAAAGTTTTTGGAGAATCGAGTACCCGTACTATTGTCAAAATAATTTTTTTTTTGTTCGATATTTCGTAATGGTAAAAACACTTAATATCACAAATGTTATAAATAGTACCACAAAATCACGAAATCACGCAAGATGTTAAAAATAGTACCATAAAATAAGCAACATAAAATTTATTTTATCACAAAATTCATCTTTTATCATCACAAATAATCAATCGTCCCAGGTCACGAGCTGTTGACTATTAATAAGGATTTACAAAAATGCGAAGAAAACGTAAGATGACGTACGTTTCAAAAATTAGCGTTTGGGGTGGAAAAATAAAGTTTTTTTCAAAAAGTAAATATTTTCAGGCGACGACAAAGGATGCAGCTGTAAGTGAAATAGCTTCTTGTGGGTTAAAATGGTTTTACAATAAAATCTTTTGGACCGTATGCAGATTTCGCATTTGTAAACGAAACACCGATTTAAAAATCCCTCATTTGAGTAAATAGAGGATTCAACGTCAATTATAATACGAATACCTTTAGTAAATGATAGAGATATTCATTCTAATTATAGCTTGTTGTTTACCCTTTGAAAATTTGTATCTTTATGAACATATAATGTCTGATTTATGTATTATGAAAAATATTATTCATCATGTTTCTATTTAGGGTATTATGCTTCTATTATTGGAAAGCCCGAGAAATTTTTTTTTTAATCAATCCACTCAAAGAAAATAAAGCCACTTGTCATTTGACTTTAAACAATATAAATGCTGTAATGTAATAAGATGTCTTTTAAAAAAGCCGATTATTTTGCAGCACTTTACGGTGTTTCTTTTATTTTATTTTTATTTTATTTTATTACATTTTCGCTTTAATTTTTCAGAATGTAAGGAATTCCTATTTTACCTAATAAATTCCATGCAATTTTTTTTTGCATTAAACGCAACATAATGTAATGACTAATACATTTTGTTACGGACTTTTAAAATAGTTCGCATCATGGTGTCATTCAAGTAACCTCGTTCATTGTGATCTTTCAAATGATAAAATCGCGTGAGAACGAACCCTATAACTTGTTTCATGCTGTATAAAGTCAAGATTAGCATGCTGAACTTTCCTTTAATCCCAAGTAAATTTGTTTAACGTGCAAAAAAATACACATGAAATACCTGTAATAGTAAAAATTTACGCCTAATAGCATCGGGAAGTTTTAGCTTTTTCAAGTGATTAAAAAAAGACGCGCTACTGAATCTCAACGAACAATTTCTTTATTTCTTTAAAAGACAATACAAATTATTTTTTTTTTACCCGTTTAATTCGATACAAAATCAAATATGGAAATATGACTTTGATCAGCTGATTAGTGTATGACAGGTTTGCCTTATTAGATTCAATTGTCGAGCACTTAAAAATTGATCTTATGATATGCACGAATTAATCGCTAAATCTTAATCGGAAGTAATTTATGTTACTCTTTATCTTCTTTGTCTTTCCTAACTTTCCATCCAAGATTCCTTTGCTTCATCTTTTTTTTTTTTTTTTTAACCATTTCACTTGTTTTTATTAAAAAAAAAGTTCGCTAACAGAATTTATCATTTGAAAGATTGACATATTTACAATGCATTTAGAAGTTCATTGACAGAAATTCCTTAAATCAGATCTACCATAATTTGGTATTGCCAACAACTGATTTTTCATTGATGATAACATAATCGGCCTAAATCTACGCGGATTTTAATTAATACATTTTGGATTCGCCAAATCTTTCTAACGCGTAATTTGACCTGGATACTTAGTCATCATGTTTCACAATATAACGCGTATAAAAAAATCTCATTTTAAAGACAATTAGATTATCATCTATTGTTTTCCCAATGCATTTGACAAATTTGTATATATTAAATTATATTTAATTTATGTTGAAGCACGGTCCCGTACATTTTTAATTATGTAAAAATGAATCGGAGATTGTAATCCCCACTTTTCTAACTATAATAGCTTTATCTAGTATGTTGTGATAATTGCGAATGGTTCAGGAGATTGTTTTCCTGCTTTCAAGTTGATTTTGTTTCAAAAAGAGACTAGGACTAACCGCGAGACCTGCAATTTTTAATTGGAACCGTTTTTTTAGCTTAAAAATTTTATATTTTTTTTGTCATATGGCGCAAATGGAACATTTTTTTCTTTTGTGATTAAATTCTTGCCGTATTGCTTTGTTTTACAAAGCTAGTTAAAAACTTGATTATGAAAAAAAAAATTTTTTTTCTTTATTTGTGGAGTTGTCAAATCCGTTGAAAATAATAACCGTCAAACTAAACCTTTTATGGAAACATCCTTTAAGGAAATTAAGGAAACAGAAAAAATGATAGGCTCACAAAATCTAAACGTAATATATTTGGCATTCAAATTTTTTTTTTTTTTTACAATTCTCAACTATTTGAAAATAAATTTTTGAGTCATGGGGCAAATTAAATTTCATGAATTTGATGTGTAATTACACAAATAATTTTTTTTGATTTAAAAATATGGCAAGATGATTGAAGTTTGAAAATATTGCTTTATTTGTGTTTAAACAACTAATTTGGTAATCCCTTTTTTGATTCTAAAAAAAAAAGGTTTCACGCGAGTATTGAAAGCTCTCTATGCAGTTGTCCTTGAAAACTCCGGACGCTCACATACATAGATCTATGTCCTCACAAGGTAAGTTCATACTAAAAAAAAATACACTCGAGAACACGCACACGGACACACATACATAATTGTAAGTTCTTTTAGAACTCATAATCAATACCGTACGGTTGGTTTTATAAAACAAGGTTTTTTTTTTTTTATTTATTTATTTTTTTTTTTTTTGGTGAAAAAGGATAGAGTACAATTATATTGTCATGTATTTACAAAGTGAATTCTTTTATTTTATCGGACATTCAAGTGCGATAATTTAAATGACAAATTATATTATGCTATTGTTTATGACAATTATGACAAAGCAAAAATAACCATTTCTGCTTTATAATAATGAACCTTCTTTTATTTTTTTTAAAAAAAAAAAAGATAATTAAACTAATAATTTATTCATGTTTATTTTTAGATTCCTTTTTTTTTCGTACTTCCCTGCAAAAAAACTTGTAACAATTATGTTGATGGCGGTTGCATCTGAAGTTTTAATGCCCCCTTTTTTTAAAGAAGGAATCGATATAAATACAACTGGTTTGATACCTCCATGCTTTCTTTTTTCTTCACTCTTTATTAAGAGTAAAAATTTCCTTTAACCACGAAAAAATTCCTTACATTCTTTAGTATATATTCCGTTACGATAATGGCAAATAATGATAATGAATTACACATAATAATCGAGGATCCGCAATATAAAACAAACGAAGTCGTAGGGAATTCCTTTATGACCTACAGAGCCGAATTCTGGAGGAATAATATCGAACTTTTATCCCAGGAAAAAGTTTCTCAGCAAGATGTCAGTGTGCTTGCTGCGTATTTTTGGGGCAAAATGGAAAACGATGTCAAAAATACGTACACCGTACAATCGCAAAACAAAACCAAGAAATTGAAACGAGAATTGGAAGTTATTCAAGTTACTGGCCAACCATCAGTTCACGATAATGAAAGTCCTCTAGGACGTAAGAAAAGGCAAAAGACTGAAAGAAAAGTTCGAAAAGATAAGAAGAAAAAAAAATGTTTGCAAAGTGAAGTCATGGAAAATCAGTCATTGTCAAAGATTGTTGATCATTTCAACACTGTCAGCAACGTTAATGTTGCTACACCGGTTGCCAATGTTCCACCTTCGACCGAAATTCATTTCGATGGGAATTATGAATATTATCCGTATCTCGTCAACGATTATTTTTATTTTCCCGTTGAAATCAACGACGACAATATCGTCGATTATTTTCCCGTAGATCCTTATTCGAATGTAGATTTCACCCAAGATATCTTTGTTCCTAATATACCGTATGAAATTTCCAATTATCCATTCACTTTTTATTTTTTTATAAATAATTCGCTTTAACCGGTACACTACTATTGAACTTTTTATTTATGAACTATGGGGGGATTTTTTTTTTTTTTTGTTTAAGCTTATTTTATTATGTACTTAAGAATATTTATTTCAATAAAAGAAAATTACTGAAATGCGGCGTAAGATTATCGTATTTTTACCATTGTAATGTATGTACATGTGATCAAAAAACTATTTTGTGGTTTTGCGAAATCTCAATCAGGTGAAGTAAATTATCCCGAACTTGCATATTCTGTTTTTAAATTTACTGGAATTATTAATTTTAATTAGAAATTCGTATTTTCATGTGAATATCTCAAGGTTGTACAAAATCAAATTTTTTTATCTTTTGACAATTATATGCAAAATGTTCACTTCGCTCCTTTTTCATACCATGCCTAGCAAACCTTTCATCTCTCGTAACGGTGAAATGTAAAAAGAATGATTGGAAACGCTATCTTTGTTCTAGTCGCATATGAAGGTTTATGAATGATATATATACCATAGGATGTCAAATCTTGATCACAGTACTTGTTCACACGAGTGCTTTTGTTTTAAAAATAGAAAAATTACAAAGCAATTGCAGCGGCGAGTTTGAACAATTTATATCCCATTGTCGTCCTCGCCTTCATTCATTTATTTTTTGGAAATACATGATATCTGACGAAATACGTGAATTTTATCCAATTGGACATGGGAAGATTTACCCGATCCGATTCAAGTTAAATGAATGAAACCTATAAATCAATTTGAAGATTTCTTCCCATGTAGATCGGGAAATCTTTTTTTTCTTTCGTAAGTTTCGTAAGATCATTGTGAATGATTTTGGAATTCCTTGCGAACGGATCGATCGTAATTAGCGATACGGAAACTTTGTATAATTCGTGGAAATTATTTTAAGAATGAGTATTATCGTGAAAGAGATGTCAAATTTCAAACTTCAAACTCATTTACTATAAAAAAAATTTCGCTGAATATTGTTATCGGTGATTATAATGAGGATGTTTACAAATAGCACGTGAATATATTTGTGATCATCATAACCTTATTTGGAGACTAATAATATCATTCAACGATCACCTTAAGGATTTCCTCGTTCGCCAAGTAATTACGTACCTTGCTGGTTAATGCAAATGTATGTACAAATTATTTTTTGAACGTTGACAATTGATTATAGGGATGCAAAAAAAAAAAAAAAAAAAAAAAAAAGTTAAAAGACCATTTCATGGTCATCCGTCAACACTTATTTTGTTCTTGCGTTTAAATTTATGGTGTTCATTAAGAATTAGGGGGTTAAAATGTTAATCAAACTTTTAAAACAGTTTTTTTTTTAAAAAAAAAAATTAATAAAAACATTGCTCGTATCTAATTTAATTTTTTAATTTTTTTTTTTTTTATTATTTATTGATGATCGGCATAACTCCTAAGTTAGGCTAAATATTAGATAAGCGCCACATACTTAGTAATCACATGATAAGAACCTTTTCATTTTCGACCTGGGCATTTAAATTTCTTGATACGGAAAGGATAATGAACGAATAACGGAGCGATCAAAGATTATCTCAGTAATACCGGACCAGAAAAGGTTCAAATCATCGGATAATCGCCGCACAACACTTAAGTAATTTAGCTGATAGTAAAATAATCGAGATTCTTCTAATCTGAGAACGATGAAGAGGTTTTTAAAGTTTTATTAATCTTCCCTTTTGGTTAATCTCGTGTAACTTAAATTTTAGGACCTTTACATTGGCGACTTTGTTGTTTTAAAACAAATTTCTGATAAAAATTTCTATATCACCATGACCAAACTTAAGAAAAGGTCAACAAATGCATTTTTTCAATACAGAAATTCAAAAATTGTTCATGAGCAAAAACGTAGGATGAGAGATCATTCACGGATTACCGCATCTGGGTGGAGAAATCAAGATGATTCACAAAAAATACAATTCTTTCAGGCTGCGGCAAAAGATGCGGTTGAGAAAGAAGCTGCTTCAGGTGGTAACGGCTTTACACAAAAATCCTTCGAGCCGTGTGGTAATTTCGCATTTGTAAACGAAACTCCGATCAGAAAAGAAATCATTCCTCCTTTGACTAAAGAGGAGTCAAACGTAAAGATGATTACTGACAACGAGCAATCCAATCGAGCTCAACGGTATTCGGATGTTGATGAGCAAAGGGATATTAACAAAGTAGTCATCTCGTGTACGGAAGTTCCTTTAAAGAATTCTTTGGTAGACGATAAGAAATTTTCGTTTGACGTTTCAAATCGTGGTAATAAGATGAGTATTACTCAGCTGATACAACAATCGGATGCTGATGGATAAGTGAAGGATGTCTTCCGGTGAACCTTTAGAACATTATCGCATGTGCATGATTTAATTATATTAATTGATCCCATATATTTCTTTCGCTTTTAAAAATAATTTTTTCACATTATAAATTTAGTTTCTAAAATACAAGTTAATACTTAAAGCGCATTCTGCATTTTATTTATCTTAAATTTATTTATTTATTTATTTATTCATTTTTTCATCATTTTATGTTATGAATTCATTTTTAAGTTATTCATTAATAATTTTAATTAACTTTATGTCGATCATGAAGTAACCGTGCGGGGGTGGGAATAAGGGATGGAAATATTGCGAACTTAGAATTTTTTGTTTCTTGCATATAATATATATATTATATTTTTGTATTTTTGATGTCAAAACCTATCTTAGAAATAAATTAACAAATTTTGCTAGGTTGATAAGAAATAACTCAAATACAAATAGAATTTTGTCACAGTACCAATAATCTTCTTAAAAAAAAAAAAAAGATAAGGGACTGAGTTAAAAGAATGGTCAACGAAAAGAACATGCGTCATTTGAGATGTGCTGCCAAATAATTGTCCGAAGCGTAAGCATGTGGTGTCTGCTCCCTACACGTGATCTATCAATAAGTATTGTATTACGGTTGATCAAATAATTTATTTGAACCGTTGAGACAATTTCGAACATTCTGGAATAAACCCATTTTTCGTATTACTTGAGCTTACTAATTATTAATACGGTTATGTAAAGTTTCAAGTTTAAAATCAAATATAGTTTTAAGCAACACAGTTCTACTGTCAACCTCTCATTCTCTAACGACATTGACGAACCGAACGACCTTGATACTAATGATAAAAAGTCATATCTCCGAACCTATATTAAGCATAAATATTCCACTTAAAGAATATATTATCAAAAGAAGGAACAATTGGTGGAAATATCTCAACGTATAGTCGAAGATCCGGAGGATAATTAATTCTTTTTTTTTCGGATTTGAAGTTGTAAACTAAAATGAATGTTAAATTTCCTAGATAGGACAACTAAAAGACTTACGTGAAATTGCTACTGATAAGAATTTAACTGTAAAAAAGTTGGCAATATTATCTCAGTTTGTGGTATATAAAGATATAATACCTGGGTATCAGATACGACAATTGACAGACAAAGAAAGACCGGAACAGGTGGAACAAAGACCACATTTTTAATGACCCTCAAAGTGCAAATAAAAATCAAGGAGACGTATGACGTCTCAACTGACATACAAGAAATCTTCAGAAACAATCAGACACAACCCGTGCAAAAGGTCAAGATCTTCTACGTCAGAGTCAGTTCAGAGAAACGAAGGGTTTGTTGCCCTTCTGGAATGAATACATTTATTTTACTAACTTTTTTATTAGGACCGATTGTGTCATTTCAGATTTGAGCTTGTGGAATGATTCTTTGAGAAGAATGGGACTCAGCTTGTAGTACTCAGTACAGATGTTAGTGCCAAAAGTAGTGAAGTTGGAGAACTTGCAGAAGACTTCCTTGCAATCATCACAGTGTTTGTGACATGACATAATGGATTATATTCAGCCACAAATTACAGATGGAGAAGAGATGCTACCTAAGAGATTTAAGAGTTTCAAGAAAGAAGTGAAGAAACTTTCAGCAGGTAAGATACAACGGATTCGCATTTATCCTAACCAGCAGGAGCGGCTAAAACTCAGAAGATGAATGGGAACAGCACAATAAACATACAATCAGTGTCTTACTGTGATCGAAAAAGAAGGTATCAAACGAGAAAAGAAGGATCTATGTGTACTATGTTTAAACGTCAAAAACTTTAATGATATCAAACTCAAATGGATTCTCAAAACTCCCTATGACATTCGTGATGAAGCAATGAATGACTTGCTTAAAGGATTTTCTTTTAATTTTGCTGTTAATTGTAAAAATTTTAAAATGAAGTTTCGTTCCAAAAAGGATTTTTAACAATCTATTACAGTCTTATCAAAGTATTGGAGTAAATCTCGTGGTGAATATTCTTTCCTTCCTAAAATTAAGTCATCAGAACCTCTTTTAAAAAAACTTGAATATGATAGCTGTCTTGTTATGAATCAACTTAGTGAATTTTATCTTTGTGTATCCTGACTACTTTAAATATGGGTTGAAAACTAAGGTCCTATATTTTAAAAGGTTTTTATTATTATTTATATTATCTTTTAAATTAAAACTTCAATTAATTATATATTTAATAATTTAATAGAAAGGATAAGGAGTGATTTCTCTAGATTCAGGTGTATGTACATTCATAATTGGTTATAATCTAAGCGGAACAGCTGTTGAATAGGGAAAAAATGACATTGGTTGAGTTTACAGATTATGTTATGCATATGATAAACTCTAAAGCAAACGTGATCAAATTCATGGAAAAAAAATAAGCGAAAATGTTACAGGTAAAATTTATTTATTAATTAATTATTTATTTAATATTTATTTATAATTTAATGTATTTACTACTTTTTAATTGTAGATTACGTCGTGTTATGCTGTGAATTTATAAGAAAATCCATTGTCTTGTGAATGATTGTCATTATAAGCTAGCTAAATGACTTTGTGAAAACTATTGTATAATACTACTATCTGAATTTTACACCTAAGGAATAGTCTGACGTGAACAATGATGCATTAGTTCTAAGACTGCTTGAGCCATGTATA